TGCATAAGAGGGTCCAACATTAATGAGGACGTCCCATGAACCGGGCAAGACTTAAAAATCCCCAGACCCTTAAAACCTCAACTCTAACGGCAAACCCCTAAACCCTCAACCCCAAGATCTTCAAACCCCAGACCCCGAAAACCCCAACTCTAACTGCAAAACCCCTAAACCCTCAACCCTAAACCCTAAACCCGAAACCTTAAGCCCTATGTAACCCAAATATTACCCCTATATAACCCTATATAAAATAGTAGTTTCCATTTTCTTTTCCATCATCCCTAATCCTTAAACCCCTGAAAATCTCCAACTCTAAACCCTAAACCCTAAACCCTAAAACCCTAAACCCTAAAACCCTAAACCCTAAACCCTAAACCCCTTAAAACCCCCCAACCCTCAAGTCCTAGTCTCGACCAGTCTCTGGTGTAACATCCTCACGCTGCTGTGGACGCTGAAGTCCAACTATGGGACCCCTCCAATGCCCGCGGCTGGAATCTTACGGTTGGGCTTTTCTTAGGATTTAGGGCGTTTGTATTGGGGTGATATTGGGGATAATGGAAAAGAGAATGGAAACTATTATAATGGGTTTGGGGGTCAGGGTTTCGGGCGTAGGAGTTTAGGGTTTGGAGGAGTTTAAGGATTGAAGGCTTATACATGTAGTACCCCTTAAGTAGATAGAATACGGGGTATATGGGGATCTGAATATAATATACCCAAAGCCATATTCTATCTACTTAAGGGGGACTATATACATAATAGGTTAAGCGTTTTGGTTTACAGGGAATCTTACGGTCTTCACCGTCAGGTTATGCAGGTTAACTGCACCTCCCCAAACTAGATGAAACAATGTCCCTTAACACAGAAAATCGTCAAGAGTTTAGTGATTATTCTACATAGTTTTGAGGTTCAAATAGGGTTTAGCGTCTGGGATAGACCTAAACCCAAAGCCCTAAACCATAAAGGCTTTGAGACGTTGAGCTTCCGAGTTTGTACAGGCTAGGGGTCTCCTCAAACGGGAGGGTTTAGGGTTTAGGGTTGTTTGATGTAGGGCTTATCAGGGGTTCCTCTGCGACCCCATTATTTAAGGGGGAACCTAGGGGGGTAGTATGGGTAGTATGGGGGGTGTAGTAGGTAATCCATGGGTTAAGGGTTTAGGAATTATGTGAGTGGGTATCCTTGTTTCGGTGTGTAGGGACAAGGTTAGGTCGCCAACTTGGAAGGTTTTTATGGCAATTCTGGGCTTCAGTGTGTCTAAGAATCCAATCCTACGTCCCCGGACATAGTCGTAGGGTTGAGGCTTCAGGGTTTAGGGTTCAGGGTTTAGGGTTTAGAGTCAGTGAGGTCATAGATTTCTTGAGTTTTGCATGCAGTGAGATTCAGGCATAACCCCGAAGCCTAACCCTTGAGCCCTACACCGAGAATCTCCAACTATGTACCCGACAACGCAGTGTTTCTGAATGGGCCCTCCTAGTCTTGACATTCTGAGGGCGAAGCTTAAACTCTCAAGGCGAAGCTATAGAGGCCGGCGAAGGAATTAGGATTCAGGGCTTAGGATCCAGCCTTTAGCCTTTTGGATGCAAGGCTTAAGATTCAGCGCTTAAGGTTTCTTGGGCATCGCAATCAGAGTGCTGATCGTTTCTGCAGGGCGGAAGCAGGTGGACTTCCACTATGCTCAGCTACTGTTTGGGTCCTTTCATAAGCTTATAGTGCTATAGGCAATCCTAATTCTCCCCAACTAGCAGCCAAAACAAAGACATTCAGGGATCGGCCTACGTGCACGCTAGCCTCCCCAAACTTACATGAGAGCTCGAACGGGCCAAACCCCCACAGACCCCAAACCGAAATCCTAGACCCTAATCCTACACCCTAAGCGTCCACGTCCTTAAGGAGTTTGTTACATTATTGGCTGAGGTCGGCAACGTGGTCTCCAACTTTAGGCAACATGGCCAGGCTGGCTTCAAGGTTTCAGGTTGTATGGGTTCAGGGCTAAGGGTTTAAGGTTCGGGGTTCAGGGCTTCGGATTTAATGTTGGACCCGCTTTAATATGCCCGGCCCCCCCCCCCCCTCCCCCCAAACAATTTATGTACCCTG